TGGAGGGTTAGATAGCCCCCAATGACCCTAAAACAGCACATGGACTGCTCTGAGCTCACAGCATGCCACTGTGGCTTGTTCTGATTATGCAAATCATGAGTTCGTCTAAAAATAGCCCTCAAGGTGGTGAGGCTTGCACGTAACACCGTCAGTGTTTTTTTGTAACAAGTGAAACAAGTTCAGTTTTACATCAACACACTTGCTAGTATCACAGTCTATAATTTCTCATACTGAAGCCCACAGCAACAGATGGTGAGTTGCAACAGCTACTGGGAATGATTGTCACAGTCACAGAGTTTCCAGGATTAGACAGGGTATTCCTCTTATTTTACTAATTAACAACTAGCTTTGCCCAGCACACAAGACAACATCACAGCCTTCCTCAGCCTGGTACCTCCCAGATGTTTTTGCCTGTAATTGCCAGCATTCCTGTCATAGTTCATACTGGCTAGGTTGACAGGAATTGAAGTCCAAAATATCTGAATGCCACCAGATTGGCGATGACTTCATTTTCTTAAGATTTGACTGCACCAAGAAGTCAGTGCTTAGGCTGGTGTATATCAACCAAAAAACAAAACAAAACCCCTACTATGTTGAACCATAAAGCACCAGAAATATTTATAGTAAAGAATTCTAGATTATAGGTTATTAAGTGGTAGATAAATGAATTAAACAAACAAACAGATTCTTCAAAGTCATACATGCCTGCCTGGACCATAAGGTAATAATCAGAAGTGCTTCTCTGGGAGGTTTCTGTGAAAGATATTAGAAACTTGGAGAAGGGCTTTTTCAGTGGTGGCACGCTGGCTATTGAACCAGTTTTGCAGAAAGCTATACCTGGTGCTGATGCTTTATCTTTTTTTTTTTTTTGGTGGTATTGGGTTAAAACCTTCTTCTCTCAATATTTTAATTGTTGAAACATTGTATCTTATTTTAGTTTACCTATTATATAAGACACTATGTTTGGCCTGTTCATTTATTATTTAATTAATTTGTATTGTTTTTGTTATTGGATAATATAGTTGGTTTTCTATCCTGTTTTATTATTAAGTGACAATTTTATTGGTTTTACTTTAGAAATGCTTATTCCACTTTTGCATTGCCTGCTATATTTTAAACTATTTTAATGTGATGTAAACTGTCCTGAGAGTTATTCGACTAAAGGAACAGTATAAAAATGCTTCAAATACATGCATACATAAAATCATCCAACTCTTAGATTAAAATTATAAATGACAATATACACATCTGGAATCTCCTTAATAGTCTCTAGGGAAGATGTTTCTACTACATCTCTGAGAAGGTTGTCCTTTGAAAATATTTTTGTGTCCAGCCTGTCAGGACTGACAACCAGGATGTTACAGGACAAGATCAGGGTATCTGTCTCTCCATCAATGGCGGTCAGCTATCAGTACCTATCTAGTTCAGACAATGGCCCACAGTAAAGAAGGATGACATAAACTGAATGCACCCTAGCAGAAAGACTCTGAAGGTCAGGACAGAGTTATATGAGCAAGATAAAGGGGAAGGCAACTCTGAAACGTCCTCCGTTTAGTTCCTTCTTCAATCAGATCATTACTCATCACAGAATATGGCAGGATCCTTACCACCAATTTAAAAAGCCAAACAGAAATAATATTGCCAGAGGTTAACCCACATATGGCCTGTCTACCATTGTGGACTGGATCATTGTGTGACAAATGAAATGTCACAAAAAATAAGTGAGTTGTGGTGTAGCAACACTGTACTTTGCTTAGCACATTTGGTATTTGCTAAAAAGGAAATGTGCATATTCAGGCTACTTTCTTACATGAAGAATGAAAACGTATGAGTCTTTAGTATACTTCTTACTCAAGACTCTTATGGACACATTTAACAGGGAGAAGGCTGATCCAATCATTTGCCTATCATGTGGAGCATTTTGCTATTTATCTCGACATCTCAAAATGAGCAGGAGAAGGGTTACTAGCATGTATCAATGGCACTTCACACTGCACACATTTCACAGGCCTTTTGCAGGTTCTCTTTCTGTGGAATTGGATATAACTGGCCCAAAACTGATAACATCTGGCCCATCTTCATTGCAATCACCAGAACTGGATTCTTGATTTCTTCAAAACTAGAATGAGTACCTGGTTAAAAAGTGTGCCGTAGAAAATCCTGGTAAGTGTTGCTCATGATTACGGGAAACAAGAGCACCTCCTAGGGAGACTGCTATATCCCCTGCTAAAATAACTGAAAAGTTAAAAACCATATTTTTGTATGCCAGTAGTCCAGGAAAATACTCAGCACCATTACATTTTCTGACACAATATTTCTGACAATAAATGTCATGCCTCATGTAGCATAGCAGTTATGAGATTTCAGTCAATAACCAAGGCACAGACCTATATCCACACACAGCAAAGAAACAAAATTAAGAACAAAACTAAAAAGGGGAAGATGTATTGCTGCTGCTCCTATTCAAAGCATCAATTAGGCGAGAATTAAAAAAGAAAGAGGCATCTCTCTCTCCCAGAGCGCACACATTTGTTTTTCTGTCTCTCTAGCATACACAATAAGCCATGAGAAACAAAAACGAGATTGAAAATTTGCAATGATGGTGTGTGACAGATCTGTAGGTCGGAGGCCTTTATCTCCTCTGACATCCTTAGTGCTATTTTTAATCACCAAGATCCAGGAGACTGAGTCATGACATGAAGCAAGCACGGGCTGATTCTCAAGAGTGCTCATGCAGGTATCATGGATCTGACTGTGCTAAGTGTCATTTAGATACATAGAAATAGAGGTTCCTAGGAGGGCTTTGCTTGGGGGCTACTGTTAGCTTTGAGTTTCCTCATACTGTTACTTCCATTTGTCTCAGCTTCCGTTGCTATGAACAATCCTCCAAGGTAGGCACCAGGACCAAGATCAAGGTCCTGATCACCCTGTCAGACTTGCCCTCCACAGAGGTGCTCAGTCCAGTTCATTGCCAGTGCTTCACTCATTGCCATGGTTTGCAGACCAGCACTGTAGCATGTGTATATCCCACTATGAGCGCCATCAAGACCAGCTCCCAGGCCATGAAGCAGTGCCATGAGCTTAGGCTCTCAGGCCATGGGCCATGCTGAGTAAGCTCAGTACAAGCAGAGAACCACTATCCTTGGCTAGCCAGTGTGAATGAGATGTAAATGAATGGTGAATTATGAGTGCTGGAATTCTTGGAGAGAAAAGGGCAGGCATAAGACATTTCCTCTCAGAGAGAGGAGGCAAAACAACTCTGCAAAGAGGATGACCCACTATCCTGAGGCATCTGGAAACTGGCAACTCAATTTTTTACCCATAGAAAAGCAGCAATCAAGAAGCAAACACCCATCCAACACTCAGCATAGGTCTAGAAACTTCTCATTCTCATAGAGACAGGTACAGAGAGAAACAGTATAAAGATCAGGGACTTAGAAAAGGAACGTGAGCAAGCTCACAGTTCTGGCATACCAGCCTATGGATACCTTGCACAGTTCCTGCCCACACAAGGGACTGCTGTTGAGGGTCTATCCTGCAGGACAGGTAATGGGCTCCTTCTCCCCTCTCTTTTATCAGTTCACTTCTCTCTCTGCCAGGTAGGAAGCTCTTTATCTCTTTAAAAATATAGAGTAAGACTGGGATGCAGTAGGAATATTTGTTGCCTAGACAACATCAGGTTAAAAGCGTGTGCCTGCTCTGTAATTTCTGCTGAATAAACTTTCCTTTGCTTTCTAAGTGGTGTGTGCGCGCGTGCGTGTGCATTTGTGTGTGCGTATGCAAAACCAGGGCTTGTTCTTTCTGGCAGCACACGTCAAACCCCAGCAAAAGGTCCCAAACCATTTGAGGCAACCTGGCAGGCAAGCAGCTTCTTTTGAAGTGCCTTGCTCCCTGAGATTACATGGTATAACAGGACTTATCTGAAACAACCACAGTTTTAGATCAGACAATAAAAACGGATAGTTCTTGAGTTCAGACATCTTTTATTTTAGTTTCCTTGTGAATAACTGTGCTTCATTTAAAACTGGAAGTGAATGGTTCCAGTCCCTTCCATGCACCTCTGAAAGAAAAGAGGGAGGGTGAACACATGACCCGAAGGGAAGAGTAAGGAACCATGTTCAGTTTCAGAGAAGCTTCCCAGGGCCCCATTCTAGTCCCAGGCAGGGCCAATGGTAAAATATTAATTTACTTGATTCATATCCTGCTTTTTTCTTACAATGAACTCAAAGTGGCTGGCATCATTCTCCTTCTCCTGCTCTCAATCTTATCCCCACAACAACAACCCTGTGAGGTAGGTTGGGCTGAGAGTCTGTGACTGGCCCAAAGTCACCCAGTTGGCTCCATTGCCAAGCAGGGACCAGAACCTAGATTGCCTGAGTCCCAGACCCGAGCTCTTAACCACCACACCACACTGGCTCTCAACCTAATTTATCAGCCTATTTTAAATGAAAGTTCTTACTGCCAGGAACAAAGCCTTAGGAGAGCCATTTAAGGTTTTTAGAATAAAGAAAGCTATATGCAAATGCTGGAAAGCCACCAAATGATCAGAGATCAGGGAAAGAGGGTATGGCCAGGAAAGAGGGTAACTCTGAATGGGACTCCCAGAGGGCAGGATTTGGTTCACGGCCTGAGGTTGCCCATCACTAGTCTAAGGCTCACTATGGTTCATCTCTGTTGTTGGAGACCAAGGTTTCCCATCCCTTCCAATAGCGTGGCTTTGTGGTTTCAGAGACCATGAGAGGAGACAGCAGCACTACCTAAAGTGAGTGATCCAAGACTCTGAAGCCCTTACTGACCAAAAAGAAGAATCATGAATTGTTCTCTGATGGAAATAGCAAAGTCAGATCCAAACAGATTTTTCTGGCTGAAATCCTCTACGTTCACAGGACAGCAGACATTATCTGTAACAAATGGCCACTGTTTCCCTGGATGTGGACAGCTTTATCTAGAAATATTGTCACAGAGAAACCAAACAAAAGGCAAGAGAAGGCAAAACTTACCCGTTTGAGTTGCTGAACACCACCAAATATCCTCATCACACCATCAATCTCTTGCTCCAGCCTTCTGGCCCAGTACTGCATCCTGCAAGAGAAGGGGCAGAAGACACCCTGAGTCAGTAAAGGAGGCATGTGAAGAAGGTGGTTACACATTGGTGGCCAAAGCTTAGCTTATACATTCTCCTTCTGAGGTTCCAGCAAAACACCAAGCATGGCTAAGAGATAGGAGTAGGATGATATGCTTATGAGGCGACCATTGTCCAACATTTTACATATACACAGAGAACAAAAATTAAAGTTAAAATGGAAACTGCAAAGGGTTGACTCTTTTCTCTGCCAAGAAAAATGTACCACAGAGCTGGAGGGACAAGGCAGACCCTTTAGATGGTCTTCTGTACTCAACAGCAAACCCAGGTGGCTGAGTGCCTCTCAGATTGGAAGCAAAAGAGGACTTCTGCAAAATATGGTGGTTTCTACATATTTGCAGCGTGCCCTAGGTTTGCTACAATCAGGTTCATGAATTAAAGGAAAAGGACATTAAACAAACAAACAAGAGCCACTGAACTTGTGAACTTATTAAATTCTAAGGACAGCTAAGCCATGGCACACAGAAGGACCTAAATAAATGGGAAATCAAGAAGATTATAGCAGCCTAACAATTAAGCCATTGGCTTATAGCACCAGAGTCATGGAAGGTTTGTCAGCTGAAATGGGACAGAAGGAAGAATTGTGGGAGTGGGGGAAATGCATGCTGTATAGTTAAAAATGCACACACTTTCATTTCCACTATACAGAGATGCTTAGTGGATTTCTTTTTCCTGTTCCCAATCTCTTGACCTGGATGTTACGAGGCTCCCCACACCCCCACCCTTGCCACCATTTAGCTGAAAATAGCACAGCAGCAGCCTAGTCCTTTTTCTCATAACAAGGGAAAGTCAAGAGGAGGGAGGTGTCTTCTGTCTCTTTACCAGTCCGGAAATCACTTCCCCGCTGCCACCTTGAGAACCCTGAACCTTGAACAAATGCAGTTCTCTTTGCTGATGAGAATATACCATAATTCTGGCATGTTTGCCTTTCCTCTCCTATTTTTTCTTGTGATGTGCCCTCAAGTTGTCTCTGGCTTATGAATGAATGCCCTCCAGAATGCCCTGTTCTTTTAAACTCAAAGCTCTGGCTTCCTTTATGGAATCAAACCATCTCACAGTTCCCCTTCTTCTCCTGCCTTCAATTTTCCCTGGCATGATTGTCTTCTCCAGTGAGTCTTGCCTTCTCATGATGTGCCTGAAGTATGACAGCTTTAGTTTTGTCAATTTTGCTTTTAGGGAAAGCTCTGGCTTGATTTGATCTAGGACCCACTTATTTGTCTTTCTGTCAGTCTGAGGTATTTGTAATGTTCTCCTCTAGCACCATGTTTTGAACACGTCAATTTTCTTCCTGTCAGCTTTCTTCACTGTCCAAAATTCACACCCATACATAGTGAAAATGTAAAGATAACCTATTATATTCCAGGTACATTCTAGCAGTTGCCAGTTCTTGCTGGTTTAACCACTATTGGCTTGTAAACAAGCTCTCCTCTGGAGTAAGAGAAGAGGAGACCTAGTAGGGACTGCGCATGTGTACATGTGTATATTTCCTTCAGGTTCTGGTGTGGGAAAAGTGACTAACATTGGTGGTATGTTTCAACGGCAAATGTATTCTGTACACTCGTTATGTATTCTGTTTGCAAGGCTACATTACCAAATGTGGGAGGGGAAGGGAAGGAAGAGAGACAGAAACCAGAAATGACAATCAGTGGAAACACTTTGTCCCTCCTGATTTTTACTTTATCTTTAAAACCTCTTCTTTAATTGGGAGGCCAGCAAGCTTCTCGAGCCATCTTTATCCAGGTTTGAAAAAGTAGTTTTTGTATTTTGAAGCACAAAACCCACTTCTGCCTTGTACTTGGATTCTTGTGCAAGTTACTTTTCACCAATTTGCCTTCTGAGGATTGTGCATTTTGTGACACAAATAACATCTTTATGTCTACCACAATAGACATCTTATGAATTGGCAAAGTAACCCTCAAGGGCAACCTTTTGTGGAAGTGCCCACAACACTCACTCAAAATTAAAAATGTGTCCACTGACCAAAAAGAGTTGGGGCACCTCCAAAGTTTCCCTTGATCAGGAAAATGAACATAAATGCAACCACCCACACCATGGCCTGCTATTCCTAGCATTATGGTTGGCAAAGAATGTAAGAACCAAAACACCTACTATTTGATTTAGATCAAAACATAGGCAAAATATAATTCTTACAAGCAATCAACATTGTAATAGGCACTTACCCCAGACAACTAAGTAGCAAGTGTCTGAGCATTCATACAGTTATGCTCAGCCACATGGCCTGTTCACATTTGGGTAGCTTTCTGCAAGGGAACTCTATTGCTCAGGCCACTTTCCCATGTCTCTTCAAATGGGTATCTGGACACTGCTATGAGACTTGCCAAGGTGAGGGGCTCATGTTGCTTCTGATTGATTTGGTTGGCATTCCCAGTATTGTGGTGGAGGGGGGATATTATTTTAAACCCAACAGCCTGTGCTTAAGGATGTATATAACTAAACACGTATTTGAAAACAGAGATTAATGTGATCATTTTTGGCCCTTTGCCACTTGAGAAGGGAGGAGGACTGAGATGAGTGAGAAAGAACGCACCAATGCAATTTCCCTGAGATGTAGGAATAGAAAATAAAATCACACAAACCATTGCACTGTAGTCAACAGCAACAGATTTTGGAATGCCTATAGCAGACTGAACAGCTGGTAATTTCTACTGAGAGCTATCCACCTGTAGAACCTGTGTACCCATCAACATCTGTCCACTCCTTTCCTCTCTAAGATTACAGGTTATAGTGCCCAAACAGGTCAAGGTTCTTGTACTGCTGGTACCTAGTCATCCTGAAAAATCAGTGAGTGATTTTTCAAATTAACCAGTGTACAAGATGTCATTGCCATTTAATTATATAGGAAAACAACAATTTTTTTAATCTACCTCATCTGGGTATTGGATGATTCATCCTTTTTAAACTGGCATGTTACAAGGGCCATTTAAAAAAAAAGATTTCCCTTTCAAGATAATGTTAACTTTTAGTCATTTTGCAAAATGGTCCATAAGCTAACGGTAAGGGACACAAACGGTGGGCCATTATGTGTGCAAATGTGTTGCACACCAGCTGCATGGGACTGCACTGTCTCCATTGTGCCAATCAAGATGTAATACAATTGAGATATAAGGGAGTAGATAGAATCATGAAACGGTAGGCAAATCTGCACATCACACTAAGCCACCCTTGGAAGAAGCCACAGTGAATGAGTGGCTTGTCTGTTACTCCCTGCTTAGTAGTTGCTGTGGTTTGCTTCACGCTCAGTCCACCTCAGTCATCTATCCCACTTTGGCAAGTATCCCAGGGGGCTTAGTGGCAGAAACCCTAATTTCCCTGTTCTTGCTAATATCCTCCACTTTGGTGCTTCCTCTTACACTGAAGCAGTAACACCTCCTTTTCTTTGCCATAGATCTTGCACACATTTCCCTGTTTTAGTGCTCTGCCTTGAGATGTGTACAGTTTTGTCCTGTTTCAAGCACAAAGCCTATTGCCATGATGTCCCAAGTGGAAAGCACTGAAAAAGGTTTCGAGGAGCCAAGAGAGGGCATTGTAGGAGAGCAGGTGTTTTGACATGGCCATGCTTCCTGGAGTGACACTCACCATGATAGGGCAGAAAGCTCCATGTTTAAACAGGTAAGGATCAGACTAATTTCAAGGTGGAGCAATAGGGAAGAAAGGAGGAAAATTCGTGCTAAATTCCCAGTAGAAGCCTATTTTAAACAGTGCAAATTCATCCAAGACATTAACTTGTATCTGTTCTTGCGGATGACTACATGTATATGTACATGCTAAAAATCCATCAAAGGTCTGAGGGAGAATGAAGATGGTACAAGAAAGAACATGAGGAGAAGCTGGCATTTTTGCTGCTCTTGCAGGTCCGCAGCCATTCCAACCATACAAACACCCTTTGCTGCCTTGGACATCACTCCAAGCCACCCTGAGAAAAAGCCACCCTCAACAGCCTTACTGAAAGGGCATGATTTATGGAGTAGCTTGTTTGCACAAAACTGCCAGAGATGAGGTAACCACTTCGGATTCAGACATCCTGCTAAGGCACTCTGCAATCACCCATGATGACAACCAGCTTGACTAGCATGACATACAAACCAAGTCAGTGTAATTAGAACATGTTTCCTTTATACATTTTTTTAAAAACTGTCCGAACAGTTCATTAATTACTTCACCAGGAGGCATTCAGTCCAAGAGCCTCCATAGGATTTAGAAGATGGTGAGTCTCAAGATCTGGCATCTGATATTATCACTTCCTATATCAGTTGGAAAACACTGACATGATTATGACTATTTTAGTTCATTATTACTCTTCATTCTCATCTGACCTGTCACCTAACTCTACAGCTATTTCTTGCAGTTTCAGTGGTATGGAAAGTGAATAAAATCAAGAGGAAAAGGACAGAAGAAATAGATATGCCATTATGTACAGGGGGTTTTCACTTTGAGGCAACTCTGTATGGAAAGTGCAAGTGATAAGACTTGACAGTCATTGCCTTTTTGGCGAATTATGACATGCCTCGAGTGGTATGACAGGGCTGAGGAAGCAATCATTCCAGGAAATTTCTTACCACTTTTGTGAAATCTCATTTATGAATAGATGAAGAAACTATCCAGACCAAGCCACTTATCAGGATAACCCTCTAACACAGATGCAGGTTTTGCAGTATTGGGTTTTAACTTACTATAATGACTTGGATCCAGGTTTAAGTGCACGCCACTGCCTGATTTCAGAGATTCCCCCCTCCTCCTCACACTGCAGCTTGCCCCATTCATCAGGGTCCCCTGACTCCCTGTGAAGCATTTTCAGGAAGCTGCAGGAGCTGCTGTGGAAAAGGGGGCTGAGAAATCTGCCTCTGACAGCATCATTGCAGACTCACAAATATGGACCCAACTCATTTTATTTTGGTACCCACACTGGTAACTTGTTGGC